AAAAGTTTTGAAGCGTTTCTTTTACTCCCTCTACCAGAAACCCCAAAAAAACTCGTTAAATTTTGGTAGCGCATGGTCGCAGAAGTTTTTGCCGAGAGGGGAAAGGGAAAGTGTATGAAGTCATCTTCATTTCATACCCAATCAAAAAAGCATCCGCTCTCAACGAGGTATTTGATGTGTGTCTGACTTTTCAGCACCAGACACAGGTACAAGCAGGATCCAGCCGAAATTTGCCGAAATTCTCCGAGAATTGTAAGTGGCGTCCCAGTGACCCCGCGCTACAGCGTCCCATGCTGTTTCTCAAGTCACGTGTTCAGCGTCACTTGTATGTTGCTGTTGTTGTTCAGCTCAGCACAGCTGTTTCAGCAAGCCAGAGGTGAGTTTTTTGGCGATTTCTGCGTCCAGTGTGAGTTCTCCACGTGTTTATGGGAGGAGGAAGTGGCAGCTCCTTGCCTCGCTCTGCTGTACTCTCACACCTCACCAGCCTACCATACACCACTCACCACTGCCCACTCCCTCTGCTGTGTTCTCTGTTGTTTTCCATGTGAATTCATTGCCAGTGCTGTGTATCCGAGTGCCCGAGGCCACTCGAAGCTACGTGGATCAGCATGCCACGTAGATCACAACGCCACGTGGATCACGACGCCACGTGGGTGTGGGCGATGTCACGTAGATCTACAAGCCACATGAGCTACCAGATGTCCCAGGCCACATGCTGTGGTCTGCTGCCCGCATCACATTAACGTCACCGACGATGCTGCTCGACTTCATGACGTCACGATGTATGCCTGACGTCACCTCGAGATGTCTGCTGACGTCACAGTGCTGCTGACGTCACCTCGCGACATCACGCCTGACATCACATGATGTCACCATCGAGTGTTCAGTAATTATTTTAGTATTGTCGAGAAGACTGAGAGAAAATATATGTCGTGTGTTAATTAATTCCTCACAGTCAGTGTTCTCACATTTTAGTGTGTCTTAGAGTCAGTTTTATGCACAGAAAAGCATCATTTGCTAGTTTAAGCCATGTTGTACCGCATGTACCACGGGTGTGTTTAAAGTTTCCGTGTGTCCAGTGAGGTCTGAGTCAGACCTGAGTAGCACCACTGTGCTAGGTCACCCGTGTGACTAGTGTGTTTGACGGCTATCAGACAGCCCCGAGTGACCGAGCCCTCTTGTACAGAAAGCTTTTATGCTCGTCGCTCGTGATGTTCTGCAGAATCGTACCTGCTATGATTCCCATCGAGATTTGTTTCACTTCACCTCCAGACCTTCAGAGTGCAGTTATATGTAGAGAAACAAGTCTGGGGACGCTTAGACTAACCTCTGCTATAACTCCAACTGTCGAGAGAATGACACACTGTGTCAGCCTCGTGTCACAAGCTTCAGTGAGCAGCCTGCACAAAGATGATGTCACTTTGACTGCTAGCTCGCTCACTGCAGTCTGGTGTATGATGTTACGACTCCCAGATGTTTCACCCAGTCGTCTCTGCCACAACTCGCTCCATGCTCGCCGGCAGTGACCGCCCAGCGACAATACCAGTCGAGAAGTGTCCTCCTGAGTCACTTGCCAGAAGTCCTGCCCAGTTGCCGAGTTTTGTCGACGCCTCACTCGAGGGCACCAGCATGTTGTGCCCCAGGTTGAGTGAAAACCTGCAGCGACTCCTATGATGACTGCTTCACCGTTCCAGAGGAGACCGTACCCTGTTACATCACAGCTCAGCCACAGCGATGTCTCCCGTGTTGCAGTATCTGTCCAGACGCAGGAAGGCGTGCAGTGATGCACTTCGACGCTCACTGCCTGTGACCACGATGTTTAGCACACCCCACATGTTTTTTTCTTCCCTCCCTGTAGGAAGTTTTTTTTCCATGTCCATATGTATATTATGTTTTTATTTTGTGTTCTGTGCCCTGTTCCTACGAGAGAGAGACTGAGTTTCTTTTACTACCAGTATTGTCGCGTCGGGACGACACGCGGTAGGTGGCCGAGCATATGTAGACAGCCTGTACTGTCTGCACAGACAGCCCATGCTGTCTGCCAGCTTAGTTCATATTTCGCGCCACTCAAGTGTTGCCCTCTGTAGCCAGGCCTCTCGGTGGGCACGCTAGCCTGCCTGCCCTCTGCCCTTGCCTCGCTCTCACTCACACAGCGGCCTAGCAGGAAGACACAAGGCCTACTCCTCTCTCTCTCGTGGGATGGCCCTGCCCGGTGGTGGTCGTCCCCCAGGTGGTCGTCCCCCAGGTGGTCGTCCCCCAGGCCAGAACACATATATTATATATGCTGATAAATGGTTCAGAGAACCCACAAGTTGATAAATTAGACACATGTCCAACACTTGGGTATCTTTTCTGAGAATATATTTCACCACACAGTGACCTCATCAGTCCTATACAAATAAGAATGTTGAAGATCAATAGTTTGAGGTAATCAGTCCCTCAGCCTGGAGTCGGTGTAATCAGCCCGAAGAAGTGACTTATATACTGTAGGCAGGTGAGGTGAAGCAGTTGTAGGCGGTATCACAGTGGACAAATCTACAGATGAAATTAGTTTCTGTTGCACTGAACTTACGAGGTATATACGAGGGGTAACTGCTGAAGGTCAACATAGAGTTTAGTGTCCAGGTGCTCTGGGTAAGTATCAATTAGCTTTTGAGAACACTCAGAATATCTGTCAGTTTCAGTAGATAACGTTACATTATTTGGCACATCTCTTAGACAAGAACAATCTCTGCTGTTACTTTGTACACCTGGAGTATACACGTCTTCTTCTCATTTAGGTTTGTAGTTTGGCTACTTCTGTCGCTTCTCCATCATTAGGTACCTTTTTTCTGATACGTATTTTAACCCTGGAGGGTTAGCCACCCTGGATAACCCAAGTAAGGCAGTGTGCCATCGAGGATGCGACCCACACCGGTCGACTAGCACCCAGGTACCTACTTGCTAGGTGAACAGGTGTAAGGAAACGCGTCGAAATGCTTCAAGCCCGCCGGGAATCGAACCCGGGACCTCAGCATGTGAACCGAGAGCTTTACCAGCCAGGCCACGGGGCTCCTTGAACGGTAATCAATATCTTGTATTATTCCCTTTGCAAATCCTTCAGATCTCTCAAAGTCTTCACTTGAAGTATATGATTGGTCAGCTAATGACCCGTATAGTATACCTGGAGATTTGACGAGGCTCTCGGGGGTCAACGCCCCCTCGGCCCGGTCTGTTTTTAAGCTCACATCCACGTTTCACAGAACTTAATTTGCTCTATAAATATTTTGAAATTTTTCAACCCACATGATCAACATAAAAGCAACTTCTAGCGACTCCATTTTGTCTCTGGTCTTCCATTTTGTCTCTGGTCTTCAGCTAGTACTAGACCCACCGGGCTGTGGTTCATACGTCGGCTTACGTTGTGATGTAGTCAACGTCCGACCAGCAGTAACGGCCTGGTTGATCAGGTCCTGATCCACTACGAGGCTTGGTCAGAAGACCTGGCAGCGGGGGCGTTGATCCCTGCAACCCCCTCCAGTTCCAGGTATACTCCAGACATTCTCAAGCTTCCAAAATCTCCAAGACTTCAGAATTGCTACTGTTTACACAGCCTGAGCTTCCCACCTGGAATCAGAGAGGGATTTTGACTCATTTCCAAAACAGACTTTAAGAGCCGTCTATCGGCTGGTTGAGGCTTTAGCAGACAACATATACCTGGGGGAGGTACCGGGGGTCAACGCCCTCACAGCCCGGTCAGTGACTAGGCCTCGTACAGTAGATCAGGACCTGATCAACCGGGCCCAGGGGTCTTGAAAGCAGCCAGGGGCCTAGTGCTAATTCCCCTTATGTATACTGGGAGGCAGTTGAACAGTCTTGAGCCACTGACACTTATTGTGTTGTCTCTTAGCGTACCCGTGGCACCGCTGCTTTTCCCTGGGAGAATGTTGCATCTCCTGTCCAGTCTTTTACTTACTTCACGTAGGTAATACAACGTCTGGTTTGGCATTTCCTCACTGCCCATTTGCATAAGCATTAAATTACACCACTTAACTGATCTATATATGATAGATCTGGTGTCAAATGGCAAGCTAAAATAACCAGAAATAATTAAATCGTCCACAACGAACGCCTGGATCTTCTGAGTAAATAATTAAGTCAGTGAATTCTTAGGACACAGGTGGTTTTGAATAGGAAAAAGGGATTCCTCTTCCAGAACTACCGTATTTCGAAATGTGCCCTGCTAAATATGCATCAAACTTATAAGCTTAAGCAGCCTAAGAAAAAATAATCCCGTTTGGCAGTGAACCAAATCTGGTTCCTGGATAAGCCAGAGGTTCAGCCAACATACCAATAACAGCTGCTACAGGTTCCAAGACAAGTGCACAGTAACTGTAATATGCCGTCCACAAGATGGCTACAGGTTGAAGATTGAGACACTTATGCAGCATATGGGAATCTTTATTCAGGAAACGTTTCGCCACACAGTGGCTTCATCAGTCCAATACAAAGAGGAAGGCGTAAGGAGAGGAGGAGAATGAGGTAATGAGTCCCTCAACCTGGAGTCGATGTGTTCAGTCCATCAATCTTGTAGAATGTACAGCATAAGGTCGTAGACGTGGCTTATATACTGTAGTGAGGTGACGTAAAGCAGGTGGAGGCGGGGTCATAGTGGTACCATCCACTAGTCGAAGTAGGTTTTCGTCCAAAGGTTGAACAAGTGTTGAAGAATTCTTTGTAACAAGATCCCATGATGCTGCAGTGTCTGACAGTTGTGATGAATGGTTTGAAAAACCGACAAAAACCTTATGCTGTACATTCTACAAGATTGATGGACTGAACACATCGACTCCAGGTTGAGGGACTGATTACCTCATTCTCCTCCTCTCCTTACGCCTTCCTCTTTGTATTGGACTGATGAAGCCACTGTGTGGCGAAACGTTTCCTGAATAAAGATTCCCATATGCTGCATAAGTGTCTCAATCTTCAACTTGTCGGTTTTTCAAACCATTCATCACAAGATGGCTACGGGTTGCACAGTAACTGTAATATGTCGTCCACAAGATGGCTACGGGTTGCACAGTAAACTAGCCACTTCGGTGGCAATATCTAAAAAACTAATCCTCAAGTCTAGACCTTGTCTGCGGGTCATGTCAGCACAGGTCGGGTTAGGTAAGGTTTGTCAGGAAACAGGACAAGTGTCTCCTACCGCGGATCCTAGTCATACGATGACCCACAGCTTGAGCTTTCGGTCATCTGACTGAGGCCTTCCCCTGGCTTACCCCTCCCACCCCCCTTGAAAATTACAGTCATAGTTATAATCAGCATAACAAGAGAACCACTAACTACTTCACTTGTTATGCTAAGCATTTCCAGTAGATTAGGTCCCAGGGTGCGACTCACACCAGTTCACTAACACCCAGATACCTATTGTACTGATGGGTGAACATGGACAACCGGTGTAAGGAAACATGCCCAATGTTTCCACCCTCGCCGGGAATCGAACCCGGACTCTCACCGTGTGAAGCGAAAGCTTTACCGGGGCCACTTCGGTGGCAAATCTCAATCTTTGGAATTTAAAGGTTAACTAAACAGTGTACTGACTCTCTAAGTGGTAAATATTTGTACCAGATGTCAATTTTATCCACAGTGGTATATTACCAACCAGTGTGGAAAAATATCCTGACTTTGCCCACTGTAAATAACGCATTGCCACTTAAACATGTGTGTACTCACCTAATTGTGATTGCAGGGGTGGGTTCATAGCTCCTGGCCCCTGTGTGTTCACTTATCTAGTTTGGTTGCAAGGGTCGTGTCACTGCTGCTGGCACCGCCTCTTCACTGGCCGCTACTTAGTCGCTTTTCCTGCTCCAGGAGCTTTATCATACCTCTTCTTAAAGCTATGTATGGATCCTGCCTCCACTACATCGCTTCCCAAAGTATTCCACTTCCTGACAACTCTATGGCTGAAGAAATACTTCCTAACATCCCTGTGATTCATCTGTGTTTTCAACTTCCAACTGTGTCCCCTTGTTGCTGTGTCCCATCTCTGGAACATCCTGTCTCTGTCCACTTTGTCAGTTCCTCTCAGTATTTTATATGTCGTTATCATATCTCCTCTATATCTCCTGTCCTCCAGTGTCGTCAGGTCGTGTGTGTGTTTGTGTGTTGATCCATGTTTGCATAAATAACTCATTACGATTGTAATCCAGTCCCTGGACCCATTATGTACCTCTGTAATGTTGTGGTACAGTCTCTGGACCCATTATGTACCTCTGTAATGTTGTGGTACAGTCTCTGGGACCCATTAGTAACCTCTGTAATGTTGTGGTAAAAGTCTCTGGACCCATTATGTACCTCTGTAATGTTGTGGTACAGTCTCTGGACCCATTATGTACCTCTGTAATGTTGTGGTACAGTCTCTGGACCCATTATGTACCTCTGTAATGTTGTGGTACAGTCTCTGGACCCATCATTTTACCTCTGTAATGTTGTGGTACAGTCTCTGGACCCATTATGTACCTCTGTAATGTTGTGGTACAGTCTCTGGACCCATTATGTACCTCTGTAATGTTGTGGTACAGTCTCTGGACCCATTATGTACCTCTGTAATGTTGAGGTACAGTCTCTGGACCCATTATGTACCTCTGTAATGTTGAGGTACAGTCTCTGGACCCATTATGTACCTCTGTAACGTTGAGGTACAGTCCCAGGACCCATTATGTACCTCTGTAATGTTGAGGTACAGTCCCTGGACCCGTTATGTACCTCTGTAATGTTGAGGTACAGTCTCTGGACCCATTATTTTACCTCTGTAATGTTGAGGAAACAGTCCCTGGACCCATTATGTACCTCTGTAATGTTGAGGTACAGTCTCTGGACCCATTATGTACCTCTGTAATGTTGAGGTACAGTCTCTGGACCCATTATGTACCTCTGTAATGTTGTGGTACAGTCTCTGGACCCATTATGTACCTCTGTAATGTTCTGGTACAGTCTCTGGACCCATTATGTACCTCTGTAATGTTGTGGTACAGTCTCTGGACCCATTATGTACCTTTGTAATGTTGTGGTACAGTCTCTGGACCCATTATGTACCTCTGTAATGTTGAAGTACAGTCTCTGGAGCCATTATGTACCTCTGAAAATGTTGTGGTACGTCTCTGGACCCATTATGTACCTCTGTAATGTTGTGGTACAGTCTCTGGACCCATTAGTACCTCTGTAATGTTGAGGTACAGCCCCTGGACCCATTATGTACCTCTGTAATGTTGAGGTACAGTCTCTGGACCCATTATGTACCTCTGTAATGTTGAGGTACAGTCTCTGGACCCATTATGTACCTCTGTAATGTTGAGGTACAGTCTCTGGACCCATTATGTACCTCTGTAATGTTGGGGTACAGTCTCTGGACCCATTTATGTACCTCTGTAATGTTGTGGTACAGTCTCTGGACCCATTTATGTACCTCTGTAATGTTGAGGTACAGTCTCTGGACCCATTATGTACCTCTGTAATGTTGAGGTACAGTCTCTGGACCCCATTATGTACCTCTGTAATGTTGTGGTACAGTCTCTGGACCCATTATGTACCTCTGTAATGTTGTGGTACAGTCTCTGGACCCATTATGTACCTCTGTAATGTTGAGGTACAGTCCCTGGACCCATTATGTACCTCTGTAATGTTGAGGTACAGTCTCTAGACCCATTATGTACCTCTGTAATGTTGAGGTACAGTCCCGGGACCCATTATGTACCTCTGTAATGTTGAGGTACAGTCCCTGGACCCATTATGTACCTCTGTAATGTTGAGGTACAGTCTCTGGACCCTTTAAATGTACCTCTGTAATGTTGAGGTACAGTCTCTGGACCCATTATGTACCTCTGTAATGTTGAGGTACAGTCTCTGGACCCATTATGTACCTCTGTAATGTTGAGGTACAGTCTCTGGACCCATTATGTACCTCTGTAATGTTGTGGTACAGTCTCTGGACCCATTATGTACCTCTGTAATTTTTGTGGTACAGTCTCTGGACCCATTATGTACCTCTGTAATGTTGAGCTACAGCCCCTGGACCCATTATGTACCTCTGTAATGTTGAGTACAGTCTCTGGACCCATTATGTACCTCTGTAATGTTGTGGTACAGTCTCTGGACCCATTATGTACCTCTGTAATGTTGAGGTACAGTCTCTGGACCCATTATGTACCTCTGTAATGTTGAGGTACAGTCCCTGGACCCATTATGTACCTCTGTAATGTTGATGTACAGTCTCTGGACCCATTATGTACCTCTGTAATGTTGAGGTACAGTCTCTGGACCCATTATGTACCTCTGTAATGTTGAGGTACAGTCTCTGGACCCATTATGTACCTCTGTAATGTTGTGGTACAGTCTCTGGACCCATTATGTACCTCTGTAATGTTGTGGTACAGTCTCTGGACACATTATGTACCTCTGTAATGTTGAGGTACGTCTCTGGACCCATTATGTACCTCTGTAATGTTGAGGTACAGTCTCTGGACCCTTATGTACCTCTGTAATGTTGTGGTACAGTCTCTGGACCCATTATGTACCTCTGTAATGTTGTGGTACAGTCTCTGGACCCATTATGTACCTCTGTAATGTTGAGGTACAGTCTCTGGACCCATTATGTACCTCTGTAATGTTGAGGTACAGTCTCTGAACCCATTATGTACCTCTGTAATGTTGTGGTACAGTCTCTGGACCCATTATGTACCTCTGTAATTTTTTGTGGTACAGTCTCTGGACCCATTATGTACCTCTGTAATGTTGAGGTACAGTCTCTGGACCCATTATGTACCTCTGTAATGTTGTGGTACAGTCTCTGGACCCGTTATGTACCTCTGTAATGTTGAGGTACAGTCTCTGGACCCATTATGTACCTCTGTAATTTTTGAGGTACAGTCCCTGGACCCATTATGTACCTCTGTAATGTTGATGTACAGTCTCTGGACCCATTATGTACCTCTGTAATGTTGAGGTACAGTCTCTGGACCCATTATGTACCTCTGTAATGTTGAGTACAGTCTCTGGACCCATTATGTACCTTTCTGTAATGTTGAGGTACAGTCCCTGGACCCATTATGTACCTCTGTAATGTTGAGGTACAGTCCCTGGACCCATTATGTACCTCTGTAATGTTGAGGTACAGTCTCTGGACCAATTATGTACCTCTGTAATGTTGAGGTACAGTCTCTGGACCCATTATGTACCTCTGTAATGTTGTGGTACAGTCCCTGGACCCATTATGTACCTCTGTAATGTTGAGGTACAGTCTCTGGACCCATTATGTACCTCTGTAATGTTGTGGTACAGTCCCTGGACCCATTATGTACCTCTGTAATGTTGAGGTACAGTCCCTGGACCCATTATGTACCTCTGTAATGTTGAGGTACAGTCTCTGGACCCATTATGTACCTCTGTAATGTTGAGGTACAGTCCTTGGACCCATTATGTACCTCTGTAATGTTGAGGTACAGTCTCTGGACCCATTATGTACCTCTGTAATGTTGAGGTACAGTCCCTGGACCCATTATGTACCTCTGTAATGTTGAGGTACAGTCTCTGGACCCATTATGTACCTCTGTAATGTTGAGGTACAGTCTCTGGACCCATTATGTACCTCTGTAATGTTAAGGTACAGTCTCTGGACCCATTATGTACCTCTGTAATGTTAAGGTACAGTCTCTGGACACATTATGTACCTCTGTAATGTTGAGGTACAGTCCCTGGACCCATTATGTACCTCTGTAATGTTGAGGTACAGTCTCTGGACCCATTATGTACCTCTGTAATGTTGAGGTACAGTCCCTGGACCCATTATGTACCTCTGTAATGTTGAGGTACAGTCTCTGGACCCATTATGTACCTCTGTAATGTTGAGGTACAGTCCCTGGACCCATTATGTACCTCTGTAATGTTGAGGTACAGTCCCTGGACCCATTATGTACCTCTGTAATTTTGAGGTACACTCCCTGGACCCATTATGTACCTCTGTAATGTTGAGGTACAGTCTCTGGACCCATTATGTACCTCTGTAATGTTGAGGTACAGTCTGTGGACCCATTATGTACCTCTGTAATGTTGAGGTACAGTCTCTGGACCCATTATATACCTCTGTAATGTTAAGGTACAGTCTCTGGACCCATTATGT